ATCATCAAAGTCAAGAAACCTCCAGCCCTGCTTGAGCAACTTGCCCGTGGCCAGAATCGGCTGGGAAACTGGCGACACAACCCAGCGCTCCTTCAGCTCGACTCCAGAAGCTTCCAAAGTGGCCAATCGGCTGCCCTTGGTGTGAATCGTGTTGCCCTGGCAGTCAACAAGCGGTGGCTCACCTGACGCATGAGACCCAACACACACGAAGTCAAGAGGCAGACATGACTCATCGGCGGCTGTGTCGACACAGATCTCCAACTGTTGCTCATAGCTGTGACGGCTGACTGCAGCTACACGCATGGGTGACGAAACAGGGCTGAGATCCCAATCGCCATCATGGTCACTGCTAGATATGTCAAACTCTGCAGGACAGCCACTGGGCACACATCGGACCAAAGTGGACTCAACGCGGCCTATGGACAGGTCTGACCGGCACGGCTCATCCGAAACTGCACAAGGATCTGACTGGCACGGCTCATCCGAAACTGCAAACGGATCTGACTGGCACGGCTCATGCGAAACTGCAAACGGATCTGACTGGCACGGCTCATGCGAATCTGCACAACGAATCGCTCTAACACTTGAGGAGGAAGCGGGATCACCAGGCATAGCACGAATGTCAAACATGATGCGCTTCACAGCTGCTTTGGCGGCTGCCTTGGGCGACGGTGATCCTTGATCTCCACCAGCAGCAGCATCATCCTCAGTGATGGCACGCACCTTGCCCGCAGCAAGGTCAGCTTTGTACTTTCTGCAATCTCTCTTGTAGTGTCCTTTCTTGTGGCAGTAGTGGCATTCGGCATCGGGGGAGGCCTTAGGTTTGGCTTTCGGCTTACCCTTAGGGCTGGGGGCATCCTTAGATTTTCCCTTATCACCTTTGCCTTTCCCTTTATCCTTCCCTTTCTTGCCTTTGCCCTTATCCTGACCCTTGATTTGGGCCACGGAACCTTCTTGGTCCACTTCCATGGAAGCACTGCCTTTGTTGGGACTGACAAGACCAAGCTCCTGCTGCACTCGCGCGGCACTCCAATTAGTAGTACTTACTTCATACGACAGCACAAGGTTCTTTACGTCCTCATAAGTCGTAGAAGCGTCCATTCTCAAGTGCACGTGGGATTGCAGGGCTTTGGGGATGGCTCTAAGTACAACTGACAGCTTGACATCACCAGGAAGTGCATTGCCAGAGGCCTTCTCATACTCGGCGATCAGCCGCTCGAAGCTGCTGAGTTGCTCACGCAGCGTTCGGTCACGCGTGAATGCTGGAAGCCCCATCACTGCACTCAGCAGCGCAAGCGACCTGGAGCGCGTCCTCGGGCTAAATTGGCAGGTTAACTGCCGCCAGCATTCAAACCCGTTGCGATCTTCAATGCCGCGGTGTATTGCAAGAGGCCTCCCTTTCAAGACAGAGCCTAGAATCACATACAGCTTCCTAGCCCTTTCAAGACAAATGGGTGGCATATTGGCAATGTGAGGCACTTCAGTCAAGCGTTGCTCTACTTCTGCTAGATCGCTCTCATAAGCAGGCTCTGCAAAGGTAACCCAGTTACGGAAACTGGTGGACCAGGCTAGCCAGCCCAGCGCATCCTGATCGGCATTCTCAGTGCCAAACGGCTCGGGATACTTGAGAACCTTGTTGGCTAAAGTAAAACCCCCACTATTGTCAAGAGGTGGCTTGTTGGCCGCTGCACTCTGCTGAGACACCATCATCAGAGTCTGCTGCGCAGTCTGAGCAAGCGACATCACCATCGTCTGCATAGCCTGCATGTCAGCAAGCTGTGGCCCTGGAGCCTGTGGGAAGGGACCTGCAGGGAACCCCGGCACTTGCGACGACGAAGCAACCTGCGGCGGATCTCCAAGGTCGTCATCATCATCATCATCCAACGGCACATTCGGTGGCTGTGACACCGGACTTCCATGTGCAGACATTTCTGCAACAGTGTGGTATTGGGCTCGTAAATAAAAATCAAGACAGGATCACAAAGGCTGATCAATCAAGGTCAATGCAATGCGTAGCTCTCCTAAGCCGGTGCTTGAAGACGTTCCTACCTACAACAAACCCAAATCCAAAAGTCCTCCCTGCTGCCCAGTTGTTGAAGCGGATGCACTGCTGATCACTCAACACACGATTAGCCAATCTGGTGACCTGAGACAAGGAAGTCAAGGCCTCAGCAGTTGCTTTGTGCCTTGCAAGATAAGCTGCTTGCCTCTTGCGGAAAGAGAAGACGCTCAGACTCGGAGTTCGTACTTTAGCTGCAAGCTGCAACCGAAGCAGATGCAAGAAGCGGGCTTTCGCCTGACTGAGCAAAGGGTCCTTGTCCCACGCGAGCACAAGGGGAGCGGCCGTGGCTGCTACGAGCTACCCAGCTACACTTCGCCGAAGAAGAGAAAACACCAAAGTCAAGGACAGGTTTCCGCACGCTGGCCCCCGAACAGAGAACCAACAAGAAACCCGACGTGAGAAGCACTGGTCGGCCAGTGCTCCGCTACCATGAATGTTTTCACCCTTGAAACAAAGCGCCTGCGATACGACATATACTCAGCACACATGCAATGGCGGCAGACTTGCATGACTGGAAAATCAAAAGAGAGAATAGGAAAATGTTTCACAAAACCTACTCCTCAAAACTACAAACTCCTTCCTTCCTTCCTGGGTGCAGGTTACGTAAAACACAAGCACTCTTGCAGTTCCTCCGCGTAGCGGTCGTCTAAAAGACACAGCCAGGAGGTCAGTTCTTCGCGGTAAGCGGTCCACGTGGAGATTTCCTCATGGCGCGATCTCATCTTGTCTGCTGCCAACTTTGGCAGGGACGGAATGTAGTTTTCCGCCCTGTTGCTGCGCAAGCCTGTGTCCACATCCATCTTCACAACACCATCAGAGTCAACTCTGAAGGAGCCCAGAGCTGCAGCAGGCGTCTCTTGGGACGAACTCGCAGCAACGGGTGCTGCACCCTGCTGAGCTCGGATCTGTTCATCCTGGGCTTGCAACATCTGCCTGAAAAGGTTGACAGTGTTGTCTTCTGGACTAGGCACAGTTGCCTGCTGCGGATTCCCTCGGTTGCGTTCCAAACTGAGGCTGCTGCTGCTGGAAACCCTGCTGCAACGGAACCTGTTGAGGTACCTGTGGAAAAAGCACCTGAGGCACTTGAGCTGCACTCACAAGAGGTCCAGGTCTACTTGCAGGCCGGTGTGCTGTCGGACTGTTCCAAGCAGGAAGGGACCTTCCACGAGTCCGCGAGTTGAAGGAAAGCCAGAAGAAACTCCACTGGCACGACTAGCACTTCGCCTTGAACTCCTCTTGGGGAACGGTCGCGGGAGGAGCAACCTTGAGCTCCGCTTCCACGTTAAAACCCAAAACGCGCCTTGAGGCACACTTCTAGGTTTAGTAAAAGGAGGTGCAAGCCGACTGACTGACTACGTCACGCAAGGCTACAGCAGTGAAAGCTAACAGCACACCTTTCGTCGCAACTAACTGTTCACCACGCGCTTGTCACGCAGTGCAAGTCTTGAGCCAAGTGAAACGGGGCGTGGACAGAGACTTCAGCACACTCACTTCCGAGGTAAGTCTTAAGGACTCCTAACGGCTTCTCTGCACTGTAACTCTGTTCTATGGCCCAGGTGCTCCCCGGACTTCGTCTAGGTCCGTTCTCACAGCAAACAAACTGAAAACACTCTGATGTTCATCATGCTTCAGGAAACACCGTTCTTCGTGAAAACTCGTGAGAAAAACTCCGGTTGGACACGCTTCTGACTGATAACTTTCACGCAAGGTGAGACAGGAAGCGTGAGCGCAGCGACCGACAGACAGACAACTCCCTACTCCTACCATTTACAACTACACCTAAGGTTCTCTAAAACTCACTAAGAAGAAAACAGAAAGTGTTTCTGACCTAGACACAAGAAAATCAACTCATTGGCTCCACGAGTGCCCCGTCATTGCCCACTCCGCGCGCTTGCTTGGACTCAAGCAGCCATTGGCACTTCATGGGCCTCCAAAACATGCTGCATTTTCGTTAGAACTTATTGCTCTGCACGGCGATATCTTTGGAAGCTTGGCGCAATGTGGACCCGGGTCTTGCATGACACGGGCTTGAACATGCAGTCAGCATGGCAAGTACTGCTCACCGGAGTGCGCCAGCACGCCAACAGACTTCTTGCGCAATGGTCCACACCGGCTGCCCTTTCTCCCGCAGTCTGAGTGTAGACTTTGAAGCTTTTCGGTCGACTGCTCTGTCTAGCTCACACGGTGTCGCAGCCAAATGTCCGGATTGAGCACCGCCTCTGTTCCGGTTGTGAAAAGTTTGCTTTTAGGTGTGCTCTTGAGCACCGACATGCTTGTTTTGCGCATGAGAAAGGGTTTCATCCTTTTTGCCTTGAACTGTTTTGTTTCAGAAGCTTGAACAGGCATTTGCATGGCGAATACATGTTTTAGCATGTTTCCAGTTGCTTTAGACCGTGATGAGCGCTTACAGCACTAGAGATGCTTTTGGAATCCTTAAAGAAGTGCGTGTTGCTCTGACTGCACTGTTGCTGTTTTTCGCCGACCCTCGCTTCGCTCGTGCAGGTGGGAACAGGCCAAGGGACAGAGTGGCTGTGCACTGCTGTTTGAGTAAGTACAGAAGTCTTAGGACAGTTGCACGTCATTCCTCTTTTGTTCAGCAAAGTTGAGACGGAATTTGCTGCGCGAGACTCCGCAAGAGACCTTGCTGAACACTCGGTGTTGACCACTGTAGAAGAGGAGTTCGAGATTTTTGGTCCAGGCCAGCTGCGGCAGCGCCTGAAGCGGCTGCTCAGCAGGGAGCGAATCCGTTTGCTCCTGTGCAAGGTCCGGCTCCTGCTTCTCCGCAAGCAGCACAGCCTTCTGTACCAGCGGCGGGTTCGCCATCTGGTGCCACTGTGCCCCCTGTGCAAAGTCCAAAGGCGTCGGCTCCACCTGTTCAGAGTCCGAAGGCGGCTGCTCCGAGTAGCAGCTCTGGTTTGCAGGTTTTACGCCTGAGCAGATGCCTGGATTCATGATGGAATTGCTTCGTCAGCAGAGAGAGATGATGGCAATGAACCAGCAGCTCGTTGCGACGATGCTCCGGAGAATGGATCTGGAGGAAGAGAGAAGGAACAAAGCGGAAGAGAAAGTTCACGAGGCAGCTGAAGCGGCCAAGCAGGCAGCAGAGGCAGCTAAGACTCGGGACCCCTTCCAGCCGAGCACTGCTCCCGCGAGCAGTTCTGCCGCGAGTTCGGCAGTTTCTCCGGCAGTTCCGTCTCCCTCTGGGTACTCTGGTGCTGGAGGCCGTGCAGAGAAGTATCTGCCGAACCTTCCGGTGATAGACCATCAAGGCATGGGGAAAGGGCGCATGAAGGAGGTAGAGACTTGGCACTCCTTTATGGAGACGCTGAGTTCCTGGCTTGCCCTGCAGGAAGAAGCGTTTGTTCGGGAACTGCAGCTTTGTATCCCTGTGAAGAAGGAGATTGTGCAAGCTGACTTGAATCCCGAGACTGCCGCGCGTAGCTCCAAGCTGTTCTACTACTTGACGCAGTCCCTCGCCAAGTGGGAGCGGGGAAGCGAGCTCTTGAGGTCCTGCTCGAAGAGGCAGGGGCAGAGCGCCTGCGGCTACGAGGTGATTAGAACGATTACCTCTCAGTACTCCATCGTGTCGCGGATGGAAGCTGTCTTCGTGAGAGAACAGGCTTTGAAGTTGTACCAGCACGTTGGGCATCTGAAGAGGCCCACCGACTTGATTCGACATCTTGAGGATTCGTTTTCGAAGTCTGAAGCGAAGCTGAGCAACTTTCCGGAGCTTCAGCTGTCTGAGGCTGACCGCTGCTCTGTCCTGTTACAGAGCTTGGGTGCAGAAGTGCGTCAGTACGTGGTACTGCACGGGTCCAGCTCGAACTGGGAAGCTCTTCGAAGGACGCTGACTTACTACGAGGAGCAGCTGCGACTGTGTGAGGCCCCTGGGTCTTCGGGCCGAGCCTTGCAGGAGAAGCTTTGCGACTACTGCGGGAAGAAGGGACACACAGCCGACAAGTGTTGGCAGCCAAAAGGAAGAACGCGAACGCGGTGGTGCTCCGAAGGGCAAAGGGAAAGGAGACAAGGGAAAGCCGAAAGGCAAAGGCGACCAGACTCCCAAGGGATCTGGTACGCCCCGTGGTTCCGAGAAGGGCAAGGGCGACAGAGGAAAAGGCGACAAAGGAAAGGACAAAGGCAAGAAGCAGAAGAAAAAGAAGAAGGGACAGCCTGGAAAGGGACGCTCCTTGACAGAGCCGGAGTCCGAGGCCGAGTCGGGAGGAAGCGCCACAGTGATGGCGATGAGGTTTTCCTGTCCTGGGCGTGGTTCTTCGGAGCCCTCTTCTTCGGAACGCCGTGTTCTGAGCCAGCCTGAGAGACCTGAGCCGTCCGCCCTTGTAGTTCCGAAGCCGGGTTCAGGACCCGAAGGGTCGCCTAGGTCTGAGAGTCGAGGTTCTGAGTCTATGGGCTCCTTAGGATCCCGTGTGTTGAAGCACGGCGACGTAGCTCATGTCTGCAAGGCCCTCGAGACTACTCCTGGGGACCTTTGGCTAGTCGATAGTGGAGCCACCTGCCACATTGTTTCTGACAAACATCTCTCAGGATTTCGTGTTGTCAAGAAGTACGACCGAACGGCCAATCTGTTCAACGCCTCGGGTGGTGCGATCGTCGTTTCGGGGGTTGTCGACCTTGAGGTTCATTTTGGGGATGTTTTCCTGAGGTTGGAAGAGGTCAGGGTGGCGGATGTTGGGTTCAACGTTGTTTCGCCTTGGACCGGGTCGGAACGGGGCTGGAAAACCTATCTAGCCAAATCGGGATCACGATTGTACAAAGGAAACGGAAAGAAGAGCATCAAGCTGATGGGCGCTTCGCGTGCCTGGTGGGCTCTGAGCGGGAGGTCCAAGGGCAGGGGGAAAGAAAATTCTTCCAGACGCCCCCCGAAAGGGATCGAGGACATGGAGATAGATGCCTTGAAGGACCGCGACCTGCTAGGATCGAGCAAGGAGTCCACCGCAGGACCCCAGAAGCCTGGAGAAGGAATCCTGAAGAAAGGAAGAAAGACTTCGGAAGAAGACGAGTCTGGCCGCCACGCTTTGGCTGCCACTCCTTTTGGGTTTCTGCTTCGGGGTCTTAGGGCGGAAGTTGCTCCAAGAGCGCCTGCACCACGGGAGATTGAGCTTTGTGATTTTCTAGAAGAGTCTAGTGACTTTAGGCAGTGCACGGCGCTTGAGTTTAGGAAACAGTTGCATGCTGGCATGTCGCTTGATTTTAGGAAACAGTCGCATGTTGGCATGGCTCTTGATTTTAGGAAGCAGTCGCATGTTGGCATGGTGCTTTGCATGTTTTGGGCATGTTTTTCCATGGTTTTGCGATGGCGTGTTTTCATGATGGACATGGTTGTGCAAGCGCAGTGGGTTTTGGCTGCTGTGCTCAAGCGGGCTTTTACCCTTACGGTTTTTGCAGAACGACTCGGCATACGCCTCTTTTTCCTGCTATGGGAAACTATCTGGGCGGATCAAAGCAAGAATGCGAGTGCCGTTGCGAAGTGTGCGGAAAGCAGGTCTGCGTCAGACGCAAACCTGCTCACACCCATCATTATTGTTGGGCCTGCATTCAACATTGGTCTGGGTTGCAATGGCTACGTGCCCACGACGAAGTTCCAGATTCGAGCTATGCTGAGAGCGATGCCGATGGTAGCATTGCAGCTGGTTGGGTCTTGCTTGATGGAAAGTAGAGAAGAAGACAGACCCTTCAGCCACAAGAGGGTAGAAAAAGGGTTGCGAAAGCAGTTGCCTGAGCTTAGGAAGCAGCGGCGTGAGCCTAGGAAGCAGATGCGTGAGCCTAGGAAGCAGATGCGTGAGCCTAGGAAACAGCTGCGTGAACCTAGGAAACAGTGGCATGTTGGCATGCTTGGCTTGATTTTGCAAACGCTGATGTTGCCGAATGTTTGCGCTAGCACTGCGCACGATCCACCTGCAGCCGTTTTTCTCTTTGGTGAAGAGAGGTCTCCCTTTGGAGATCATAATGGACGGTGCCAGCGGGGACGAGTTTACCCCGAGTGTTGCTTTGAGCAGTCCGGGCTCCCCAGGGGACCCGCCTACACCGCCAGCTTTGGAGAGCCCCTCTTTCGAACTACCGGGGGTCGAGCCGCCGGGTGGGGGACCATCGTCGCCGGTGGCTGTCTACCCGTCGCCAGTGGTGACGGAAGCAGCGGAGAGCCCGTTGCTGGCGGATGCGGCTGGAAGCCCTGTGGAGGAGAATACTGCGAGGAGTCCGCCGAAGGCGGATATTGCAGAGAGCCCTTTGTTCTCAGAGAGCGAAGGGGAGGAGAGTTGGGGCTCCAAGTGGCCGAATCCCTCGAAGCGCCTGCGCGCTGGGGTTCCTTCAGAGGGAAAGGGGCCTACGCCACCGCGGGTTGGAATCCCGGCGAACATTCTGCCTGGATCGCTTCAGATGGATGTGGGAACCCAACTCCTCCTGAGGGCGTTGAGGCTGGAGGCTGGCCGCAGATGGGAGCATGCGGAAACACTGGGCCTTGCAAAGGTCTCGGTCGACTCTACCGAGCCTATTCCGTTGCTCTCGCACTTGGCGGGGATTCCAGCGAACATGAACGATGCCTACGATGCCCCATCCCTGGCGTTCTGTGCGCCAGGCCACGCCTTGAGAGCACTTTGCTCTCCGACGGCGACGATGCTTGGTCCGATAGGCCTGCCCGACCTAGAGCATCCAGCTGCTTGGCTACCAGCCACTCCAGTGATTCCGGTGACAGCGGCCTATCCAGAGGAGCCATTGAGGGTTTCGAGGCCGAAGATGGTGGAATCGGAAGCCCAATGTATCATTGGGCAGCAGGAATGGGAGGTTTGGTTGGGACGTTGCCTAGAGGGCAAGAGCCTAGCAGAGTACGGGCTTCATATGGAAGACGTGGAGTTCGCTGTCAGGGTTACCGAACTTCTGGAGGCTCCACGGGCCGCTCGGGCGGCGTGGAAGCGAAGGTTCCAGGAACCCAACCCTGTATCTATGTTACACTATATCTTCCATTGTCGAGCTGTATTGCAAACCTATCTGGCTACTCCTGCTGGATACAGGGGACTGGTGGGAGCGCGTTCGAGTCTGCTCGTAAAGGTGCCCCAGTCGGTCACCTCGCTCGAGCTCAAAACGGCTTGGGCATACCTAGACTCGGGCATATATCTCCGTGTTGCCCGATATTACAGGCGAAAACGGGAGGAGGAGCGCCTCCACGAGGCCCGGGAATCCATGCGAGCGGCAAGGGCCAAATCGGCAGCGATCCCTCAGGGCGGTGTTGTGGACACCACCTCTTCGAGCTCCGACGAGGAGTCCTTGCTCCTTGGAGAAGGAGAAGTTACGGCGCTGAACAGGGCCCAGGGCCAAGAAGATTTATCCGACATCGCCATATGGCGAACGTTGGAAGAACTTACAGGCCAGAGGCTTTCCCAGTTGGATGGCTTTGTTGGGGCCGACGAGGGAAATCAGCCCGCAGAGGCGGGACAGCCGGCACCGCCGAGCCCGGCTCCGTCCTCGATACCACCAGGAGAACTGGTGGCTACTGCATTCAATCTCCCGAGGGTTTCAGCACCTACGCTTCCGGAGGGGATGCAGAGGGAGGACTATCAAAGGCACGGCGTGAACATCCCGCCGTCTGTTCCAAAAAGATCTCGGCTACCAACGCCTCCGAGAGCTATGAGTGCTTCTGCCACAGGACAGACTGCCCAGGAACGGGCATTTGTGCTCAGCCCGCCATCTTTAATCCACAGTCAAGTGACTGCGCAGGCGAGGCAGGCCCTGGAAGAGGGCCAGAGGCTCTTGGAGTGACTCTGCGGCGATCCGCACCGAGGGGTTGGAGTTCAAAAGTTTTTTCTTGCGAGCACGCTTTGCAACAGCACGCTTTACCTTGCAGCAGCACACCTTGCAGCAGCACGTTTTGCAGCAGCATGTTGTGTGGCATGAGCGTTGGCATGGTTTGTGGCATGTTGCGTTTGCTCGAAAACCAACCCAACGTACCTTAAACCCTCCTACCTTCAAGACCCGCACCTTTAAAACCACGGCCGCTTTCAGGAATGGTTTCACGCCAGGACTGGATCTTGGTATCATCGTGCTTCTCCTGACGGTCTACAGCCTCTTCTGTGGTATAGCTTTGTGGGTTTCTTCAGGGTTACTTCGGTGTTTCAGGAAAGTGGTTTCGCGAAAGAGGCCACGGAAGTTCTATAGGGTGTTTTCTAGAAAACGCGGAAGCTACTTTAGGATTAAGCTGCGGGACCGCTGGGCCCGCGTCGAGGTGAGTAGGAAACTTCTTTTGAGTCGTGAGGTGAAAGGTTTTGGGCAGCGCGTTTGTGAGCATGTCTGTGAAAACTTAAAGTGCGCATGTTGCGGCATGTTTGGCATGCTTTGTGCCGGAGATGATGAACCGGCCCCGGCAAAGAAGACGGAACAAGTTGAGCACGTGCTCCGAGCCGTGCGCTTTAGAGGTTTACCGTCGCCGGGTACCGGTACACGTTCTGATCCGTTTGACTTGGACCCCGAACCTTCCTCAAGACCTGCTCCCGCAACTTCCTCAAAACCTGAAGCTTCTAGTCGTAATCCTTTAGATCCTGAAGGAATCTTTGATGAGGACCCTGAACCATTAGGATCTGCCCCTGGCTCTTCCAAGAAACCTCGAAAAGAAAAGGGTCCAACACCACCTGACGACCCGGTTGGACCTGAGGACGAGGAGGACCTGAGGGTTCCTCTTTCTTCTGTTTCGTTGTATAATCATCGGAGCCGAGGGCATTTTCCGTTTGATTCCAATTGTGAAGCGTGTTGTTCTTCGAAAGGGCGCGTTCCGGCGCGTCGCTTGAGGAGGAAGCTGCAGAGAGAGAACCAGACCATAGGTCTTGATTTCTTCTATTTCGGAAAACTGAGGGTACTATTGATGATGCACCTCGGTTCTAAGTATACTGTCTCTCTTCCTGCGATGCACCTCGATGACCCTGACCTGCTCCACAACATCAACCGTGTGATTCGCGAAATGGGATTAGTCGGCAAAGCGGTTACATTTCGGATGGACCAAGAAGCGGCTCTTGGAGCCCTTGCCGAGAAACTCACCAAGTGCGATAGCAGCCCTGCCAGCGCAACATTGATTGACGTGGTTCCGGGGTATCGGCCCCAGTCGAAGGGATCGATTGAGCGGCAGGTTGAAACTATGAAGCAGGGTTTCTGGTCTGTTTGGTTGGACCTGGAGAAAGAGGTTGCTAAGGTGAAGCAGGAAACGGAAGCCGTTGAGTCAATTACCTTTGGGAGGTTTGCTTTGGCAAGCCTGTGTTTTCTATGTTGCTAGGTGCTATAACCTCTGGTGTACTAGCGTCGGGGATTCGAGCACTAGCATAGATCGACTGCATGAGGAGATTGTGAACCGAACTCGGACGAGACCGTTCGGGTGTCTGGTTCAAGCTCAGGTCAGTAAGTCCAAGGCGCACCATGATAAGTTCAGGGGCGCCCGGACCGTGAAAGCGGTTTATCTGGGACCGGTGCACGCCAAAGGTGGCGGCATCTTTGCCGTCCCTGTCGGAAGCAGGGAAATAGATATATTCCCCGTCGCCAGAATGATTCAGGGAGGTGACATCTACGATGCCAAGACCCTGGAAGAGCTATCTTTAGCTAAGCCTCTTCTGCAGGACACTGAGGACCCCGAGAGGCCCATACTGTTTGATCCTTTGGAGGCTCCTGGTGATGATGCTCCTGATGAGGGGGCTGGTGTGGGAATGGATGAAGATGGTGATGAAGAGATGATTGAAGATGAGCTTGCTGACTATTCTCCGTCGGAAGCGCCTGAGAACCAGGAGGTTGTGAACGATGAGGGGGATATGGAAATAGACCGGCTCACGAATCACTATCTTGAGTCCCTGTTTCGAGGGCCTGACCTGCGAGCCACCTCCACTGCAGTTGCAAAGTCGTTTGATTTGAAGTTTGGGGGTACGAAGATAAGGTGTGCTGTTCCCCAGAACGCTGTGTCTGAGACTTCGGGAGAGAAGCTAGAACCCGATCTCCTTTACGCATCAATGAAGCTTGAGTTGGAAGAGTTGGAATCCTTCAAGGTTGGGGAAGTGATCCCTGAGCGCGAAGCTCGCCGTCTTGCTAAGGAAAACGGCAGGCGAGTTTTGACTAGCAGGTGGGTCAACACGGTCAAGAAGAAGGGACTGTATAGATCTAGGCTAGTCGTGCGGGATTATGCCTCTATGGGAGGCACCACCTTGAGTGAGGGAATCTACTCTCCTACTACTTCATTGGAGGGTCTGAGATTGCTTCTGTCAATGCTCTGCCGACGTGGCAGTGTGTTGTCCTGCGATGTCTCGGTAGCGTTCATGCATGCTCCCGTAGCGAGGGCAGAATTCGTAGAGTTGCCGAATAATGTGAGCACCCAGGGGACTGGGGAACGAGTTTTCGTCAAATTGCGTAAAGCGATGAACGGATTGCGCTCTGCTCCATTATCTTGGTATTGCGAGTTGGCTGAATACTTGCGCTCTCAGAACTTCGAAGCAAGTTTGGACCCCACTATATTCCGTCGTCTTACGAGGAAGGGTTTGACGATTGTGTTGTTTTATGTGGATGACTTGCTGATCTATAGTGAAGATGAAGCTGAGGGGCGCCGGTTCTACGAGGAGTTGCGTAAAAGATACAAACTGAAACTTACGGGCGAGTTGATTCAAGATTGCCCCGGGGAAGTCTCGTTTCTCGGTCGGCGGATCTTTCGCCGTAAGAAAGGGGAACGTACGGTGTATTTCGGGCTAGACGAACAGTACCTGAGTTCCTGTTGCGAGGAGTACGGAATCACCAAACCTGCACCAAAGCTCCCTTCCCTTGAACGCCGCTATGCTGAGTTGCTGAAGAAAGGACAGACTGAGCTGATCAGTCCAGCTGCTCACGAAAGGTACAGAAGGACTCTGGGCCGTTTGGCCTGGGCGGCTCTGTCACGACCAGACCTGCAGTTTGTGTGTGGGTTTCTGGGCCGCCACCAAGCAGCTCCTGACGAGGCTGCCGAGACCTGTATGAGGGATGTCCTTCGTTGGGTCAAGGGTCTTCCGCACAAGGTCCAGAGGTTTCCGAGCAAAAGGGAGATCTTGGAAGATGATGCGGACCCTGCCTCTGTATCTTGTTTTACGGACGCGAGCTGGAGTCTGAATTCGGTAAGCGGCGGGATCATCACGTGGGAGAACTGTTCCCTGAAAAGCTTCAGCAGGAAACAAACGACTACCGCACTCTCAAGTGCGGAAGCAGAACTCGCTGCACTCACAGAGGTTGCTCGTGAAGGGTTGTACATTGCTTTGCTTGTGGAGACCATCCGCGAGGGTATGCCGAAAGACAGGGAAACCGGTTATTATGTTCTTAAGGGATATTCTGATTCCGAATCGGCGGTTTGTATATCGAAGATGCAGACCCTCCTGAGGAAAGTGAGGCACATCGAACTGCGTGCCGCATTCCTTCAGGAGCTGGTGGCCAGGGGTCGTTTTACCATAGAACACATACCGGGAGTGATAAACCCTGCGGACGCCCTCACGAAGAGCCCCACCAACGAAAGTTTGTCTAGCTTGTACGATGCCTCTGGCCTTGTAGATGAACCGAAGGCCTGGGAGAGTGAGCCTACTGAGGTGCACGTGTCTTTTGAAGAGCCCAATGAAAACGAACGTTTTACTCCGTCTGTTCCGCCTTCCTGGAAAGCCGCTGCTTTGAAGCTAGCTCGTGGTGAAGCTAAGTACGTAGTGGTTGAACTTTGTTGTGAAGAAGGAAGCGCGTTGTCCAAAGCCTGCTCGAAGGTCCCCGAGATCGCCTACTTTGGGGTGACTAAGGAAGTTGATCTTCTGAGCTATAATGGCTTGTGTCTTCTGAGAGAGGTTTTCGGAGTCGTAGCTGAGGGTGAGGTTAAGGTATATGCTCACTTGTCTACTCCGTGCTCTGCTGGGTGTGGTTTAAGGCACCTGAGGTTTAAGAAGGGAGGAAAGGCCCTGGAGAAGTGGAGAGCGGCTCTGGCCGTTCACAAGAGGTCCTGGAAAAGGATCGAGAAGCTGTTGGAGCCTTACGTGGGCTCCCCGAACCTTCTGCTTTCTCACGAGTGGCCTGAGAGGTCAGGACTGTGGGATGAGACTGTGTTTAAGAGGGTTTCTAAGAAGCTTCGTTTGGACCAGGGTTGCCTTGTGGATCGTTGTTGCTTTGAAAAGGGTGATCAACGACCTTGGAAAAGATGGTGGTTTGTGTCTAACCGCACAGAGTTTGTGTGGGGACTTTCGTCTCAGTGCTCTGAGGGACACGGTCACTACTACCTTCCTCTTCCTGAGTCAGGTGTGTATCCAGAGGGCTTAGGATTCGCTCTCTTGAAGAACGCGAAGAAGACTTTTGAGGAGAAGTGAAGAGGACTCTCGGGCATGAGGGGGTGTGAAAAGTTTGCTCTTGGCTCAAGTTTGCTCTGGCTCAAGTTTTCGGCTCAGACGTTGCAGTGCCGTCGTGGCCAGCCTTGGGGCCTACTTTTCTAGAGGTTCCAAAGAGGCCCCAAACCCAACCTGGTAAAGGTCGTAGGCCTGACAGCAGGCAAGGGTTTGGTGGGCGGCCCGGTAGGCTGTTCTCTGCACGGTCTGAGTGAGGTCGATCCTCCTCTTGCCGAGTGCACTTCTAGAGCTTGGAAGTGGGCACCACTCCTTGCTTGTTTCCTGCAGCCACTACTTCTGGTAGTGGTTTCCACACCAGCTTGCAGCCATGCCGCGCACTCCCAAGTGGATCCCGTGCGCTTGTGGGTACCACTGGGCCTGGAAACGCCAGGTTGAGTCAGGGGAAAATACCCACTGTGCGTACTGCGGCAGAAACTGGCAGAAGCAGCTGGCCAAGCAGCAAGCAAACAAGGAAGCCCGTACCGAGAACTCCCAGAGCCCCCGAGCTGTCTGGGAGGACGGTCGCACCAAAGGCAAGGGAAAAGGAGAGGGAAAGGGTTCAAAGAACCCTCCAGGTGGCAAAGTCGGCGCGGTACTCGCGGGTCTTTGGAAAGACCTACCAGAGGCTGCCCAGAAAGCCTTTCAGGAGGTCGGGTACAGCCCACCTCGGCCGAAAGGGCCACCGCCACCCCCGCCAGGACTGGACCTCCAGTCCCTCCTTAAGGGTAGGATGACCGAGAAGGAGTACAACGCTGCCAGGGCCGTGGTCTATGCAGGGGCAGGGCTCCACGTCCAGACCCTGCTGGAGGCCGCGGGAATCCCCCCTCCACCTGACGAGGACCTTGACCGGCCAGAACCCACGCCCCAAGAGAAGCTGACCAGGTGTGTCAGCGACTTCAAGAAGGCCACCAACCAGATGAAGAATCTGGTGGAGAAGAAGGCCAAGCTCCAGGCACGAGCGGACAAGCTCAAGCAGGAGCTGGAAAAGCTCATTGGGGACGTGGACCAGGTCGACAAGGACATCAAGGCCAAGGACGTCGAGATCCAGGAGACGGCCAAGGCTTTCAAAGAGATGACGGCGGACTCCACCAGCACCGCCTTCAGCGCCCTGGAGGCGGTCCTTTCGGAGGCAGGCCACGAGCTCAATGAAGCCACCCGCGCTAAGATGAAGGCAGCCTTGGTCGGGAAGGAGGACCTCCCCCCGGACCCCTTCATCGTGAGTTTCAGAGGGCATGACGAGTATTTCCCTCGGGAGATGCCCCCCATGTACGGGCCTGCCCGCACCGATCCGCATGGGAAGCGCCCCACACCTCTGGAAGGGACGAAGCCAGAGGGAGCTGCAGGCAGCGACAACCCCGAATAGGGGCGCCTAGGCCAGGGGAACCCTGCCTTCCCCCTGGCCCTTTCTGGGCCACGGGCCCCCAGGCAGATTTTGCAAGGGCAGCCGCCCAATCAGGCCCTTCTCCGCCCGTCAATGGAGGTTTTGCAGGCCTTTTCCAGTAACCAACTTGCTCTTTTACCGAGGGGGAGTGGTTCGCCACCCTACCTTGGCCGTGTTTCACACAAGAGTGGTGTTCTTTGCAAGTTTTGCAAGTGTGATCTGCACGATTTAGGCAGCATTCACCTGTTCTGCGCGCGATGCAAAGTTTTTCATAAAACCCCGGCGGCGCTGCGTTGGGAGCCAGCGCCGGCCCGAGGTTTCAAGGCGCCTTACCAGCCTCTTTCCCTGAGGCCTGGGCGCGGCCTTTCGATTAGGGGTAGTGAGTTCTCCACCCCCTTTTCTTCAACCCTGGCGTCGCAGGGTGTCCTCACGCCAACGTGTTCGGACAACCAGAGCGCCCAGGATTGCCCCAGGCTCTCGGGGCCAAAATTTTTTCCAACCGGATGGGCCCTGGACCCTGAGCAGGAGCCCCCTGCCCCAAGTGGTGCCTTGGAGGTGCTGCCAAGGGGCAAAGGGGAACCTACGGGTTCGGGGTTCACCCCACCCACACCCCCCGCCAGGCCGGTGCTGTGCTTGGCCAAGGCCCTAGGCATCAGCCCGTCTCGCGGGGTTCGCAGCACGGCCCACGGCCCACGTGGACGGCGTAAAGTGCAACAGGACTTCCTGTGGGAGTCCACCCGAAAACATCGTGCGGCCCACCGGGCTAGGAGGCAGCAACAGGCCAATTCTCTCTTCTGGCACTCCTGGCCTCCTGGTCCTGAGCCGTCCAGCGCCATACCGAAGGAACAGGGCTCCACGTCGCCTTCTTCCCCCCCTGGTGACGCAGGGCGGCGGCCCCTTACCCCCCCCGGTCGGTCTCCTCCGAGACTTAGGAAGCGAAGGCCTAGCACCCGGGGGAAAGCGGGCAAGCCCCTCCCTGACCTCGAGACTAAGGCAAATCCAGTTCAGGCCCTTGCTGCAGGGCTCGCAGATGAGCTTCGGACGCACAATGACTGGAGCAAGTCCGAACCCCAGGCTCTAGCCCTCGCTGAGGCCCTGGAAGGAGCCGATGAGGCCAGCTTGGGTTACCGGGTCTCTTATGAGATTCTCGAGGCCATGCAAGGCCACTCGTGGCTGGACCCCGTCACCGCTGCGGCTTTCCTGGACGACCTCGCGGCTCAGGGGCACCAGGGATGTCAGGAGTCTGTTGTGTTTGTCAGTGCCAACATCACAACGTGGACTCCGGATATTCTCAAATGGCACCAGCCGCAAAAAGGGCCCCTTCTCATCCAGGAGCTGCACTTGGGAGATGAAGGTGCCAAAAAACTACGCATAGAGGCTTTGGCCAGAGGGTACCACACTTTCCTCCCCCCGGTTGAGGGCCCCAGACCCACCAAAGGGGGACTGGCCACACTTGTGCCCATCCATCAACAGGGACGTTTCAGAGGAGGGTACCTCTCTGACGAAGGGATCGGCTTCTTGTTGGTCGAACTCCCCAGGGTTCGCCATTCTATCCTCTTGGTCAACCTGTACCTTAAATCAGGTGTTGGCATCACTGGGGCGCCCAACCCGGAAGTCCTCGCCCGTCTGAAGCCCCTCCTGCGCCAAAATTCCAATTGGATTGTGGTTGGGGACTGGAATTTCCCATCGCAGGAGCTGGCTGAGACCACCCTGCCAGAGGCCTTTCGTGGGCGGATCGTCGCCCCACCGGAGGCGACGATCACCACAGGTAACTGTCTTGATTTCGCCCTGGTCTCCACCAGTGTCGCTTCACTGCTTACCTGTGCTGCCAGTTGGCAAGTGCCTTTCCGGCCTCACGCTGCCCTGGAGTGTTGCTTCAACACCCCCGGGGGCCAGGTCGCCTTGAGGCAACTCCCCGCGTTCCCTGGGGTGCTCAAAACAGACAGCACCAAGCCCCAAACGGGGGCCACTAGTCGAACTGACAGCCTCGCTCAGGATTCGACCTTCTCTCAGTTCACCCCCGGCGGCAGCCCTATGCTTGGTGCTTTCGGGTCGGAGGTGATCCAGGGCACTCTGGCCAATCGCCAATTTGCCGAACTCACCCACCGGTTCGCGGTGGAACACTTCACCAAACCTGGTGGGCGTGGGTGCACCCGGCCCTTCGTGTACAAACCCCTCATGCAACCGAAGGAGGGCTACCCGTGGTACGGCAAGGAGGCGGCCTGGTGGCAAAAACTGCAACTTGCCTGGGACAACCCAGGCACCAGCAGGGCCCGCTTCGAGGCCCTACGGCGGTGTTTCCCATCGTCTTGCACGGAGGGTTTGCCGGCCAAACTTGAGTGTGCCGGCCTGTCTGGCCTCAGCCCGGAAGAGGTGCTCTGCAACGGGGAATCCAATGGGGCCTCCCGGGATGGGATCCGCTCTTTTGTCAGGAGCATGTGCCAGGCCGCCATTGAAGAGTCCAGGTCCCGCGAGACACGGGACTACCAGGAGTGGCTAACCGGCGCCTCTGTGAAAGGCCTCCGACCGCTTTTCCGTACGGTCAAAAAGCAGGAGGCTGAGGTTGCCCGCCCATTCATGGACGAACCGGCGGAAGCCCGGCCCTACCTCCGACTGCAGCAGTGGGCTCGCCTCTGGGAGTCGAAGGGCCAGCCTCCTCCTCCCATCCAGGGCCTTAAAGAACGGGCCATTGCGCAAGCCCAGAGACTCCCAGCCGTCACTGGGGAGGAGTTCCAGCGACTCATTCGGCGCCTGCCTTTGAAAGCGGCGGGTGCGGATGGCTGGTCCCTGGAGCTGCTTAAAGCCCTGACTCCGGGTGAGGTTTCCTCCCTGGCTTCTTTCTGGAGGGAAATCGAAACCACGGGAGAGGTGCCACAGCAGATGACATTCACCATCTTTACGATGCTCGCTAAAAACGAGAAAATCGAAAGACCGATTGGTTTGATGTCTTCGCTCCTGAAGCTTGGGATGAAGGCAAGATGGCACCTAGTTGAAGCGTGGCTTCGCGACTATCGCGCTGAGCTTTGGTGGGACTGCGCTTTGCCGGAGCGCTCCACCTACGATGCCTCCCTCCGCAGAGGCGTCTGCTACGAAGCCGCGCGCGTCGACGGTCTGCATCGGTGCTCTTTGTTTGTCGACTTGAGTACCTTTTATGAGACTGTGGTTCACTCCACTCTCTGCGACGCCGCGCTCAATGCCGGATTCCCGGACCTTTTACTTTTCCTTGCTATGGAATCGTATCGCGGCGGCAGAGTGATCCTTTCCGACGACGTCGCGTCGCCCGTTGCTTTCGCTCGTCGCGGAATTACAGCGGGCTGCCCATTAGCCCCTACCCTGAGTAAACTCGCTGTGGGCGAGCCGATCCGGCAGTGCTGTTCTGGACCGCATGTCAACCACGTAGATACGTGGATAGATGACATCACGGTAGATACTGAACATCACAGCCCGGACCAAGCAGCAAACTCGGTCATCAGGGTCTTCAGACGGCTTCATGCCTCGCTTTCTGCCGCTGGGTACCAGGTATCTATCGGCAAGACCTATTTCCTGGCGAGCAGTCCCCTCGCCGAGCGAGCTCTGCGGCGAAAATTGGGTGAGGGTGACCCCCCCATTCAGAGTGTTGCCAAAGACCTGGGCATGACGCTGTCCGCTGGCAGGAGACGGTGCACTCGCCTCTCCACGGCGCGGCGGACTAAAGCCAACGCCAGACTGGGCAAGCTACGCAGCCTTAAGGTCCGCAACATCAAGGCCAGCAGCCGGGTGTTTTCCATGTCCGTGCTGGCATCGGGGATCTGGGGACACCAGGCCCAAGGGGTGAGCCCCAAAACTATGAAATCGGTGCGTTTCCAAGCTGCCGCTATCACTGGCAAGGTTGGAACGGGCAGCGTCGAAATCGCGCTGGAACTGGGCGCCTGGCTGGTTAAGGACCCCAGGGTGGCAGTTGTCACCCAGCACTTCAAGGCCCTTTGTCGGGTGATGGTCCGCCTCCCCGACCGCGAGCAGCTGGATCGCACGTGGGCGCAGCTCACTACCCAGCTCCAGCGGAAAGACAGATGGCGAGTGGTCTGTGGACCGCTGGGGGCCATGATAGCCTATCTGCTGGATCTCGGGCTTGTGGCTCCCACCCCGGATCGTTGGTTATTCCCCGCCGACCTGTGTCCTGCTACCTTGGCAGGGGTCCCTGAGGACCTAGGGCTGGTGGCCCTCAACCCCCTCCTACGGAGGCACTGGTCCGCCATCCTTTCTTGCCTGGCCAGCGCCTGCCACAAGGCCCGGAGGAAGGCCATCAGCACCCAAACGGGGTGCAGCAGTCTGGCCTCAGGTGTGGATACGACGGTCCCCACAGCCCTGGTGAAAAAGGCCCCGCGGATTAAGTCTGCCGCTTTGAGAATGGCCTGGCAGGGAGCTTTGAAAAACAGGCATGTCCAGGCCGGCCAGCTTTGCCCCCTGTGCAAGGTGCCCCTCACCCAGCACCACGTCGCCACCGACTGCAGATGGTGGCGCGGCAAGGCACCCCCCCCTCCCAAACACTGGGAACGCCTCACTGCCCAGTTCCCCTATGACTGCTTATGGGAGCGGGGCCTGATGCCAGCTCAGGCCACCCAGCTGCAGGGGTACTGCTGGGGCCCACAGTCGGAACGGGCCGTAGGTGTCTGCAAAGAGGCCAAGTGGCCTAAGGGGCTTTTCTACTCGACGGACGCCACTGGTGGGCCCTACGCGGCCGACGCCAGGGGCAGGATAGTGGCCTGGGCCATCTGCGCGTTCACCTGGACGGAGGATGCCCCTCTCCAGGTCGGCCAACTCACTGGCCTCCTCCCCCCGGGGAGTTCTGTGTGCGAAGGGGAATGCTTCGCGGTTGCAAGGCTCACCTCGCACTTGTTAGAGCGGGCAGATTGCACCTCCGACTGCAGTGCGGTGATCAAGCAGCAGTCCCGCGCTGTCAGGCCTTGGGTATGGGCCCAGGCGCTTGAAAATGCGTCTCTGGC